AACTCGATTTGACTTCTACGACAATTCTGTGTTGAATGCAGTACTTTGGGACATCTTGCATTATTCCCTACTGCATCGTACACAACATCAATATTCCACTTGTACAGGATCTTTTCCTGTTTGTGTGAATACAGATTGTCCGACAGACTTGCGTCCGGCATACTTGCATCGAATCCCGACATCACGATCAAAGTCCGATCGCACGTGTCGAAAACCTTGTACTTGAATAGTTTCTTTTGGAACGTAAAAACTCATATTTCGTCATATCCCAACACCAGCTTTTGTCGCAAACTTCAATAGTGTCGAGCGTCTTGATTCATGTCTGAGCGTCACCAACGTCTTTTTCTCAAAACCATGCAGGATCGGACGCCTTTTCTTGCGAATTTTTTTCTTTTTCAAAAAAATTTTCAATGGCTGATTTGCGGCTTTTGTAGCACACTTCACTAGCGTCTACCGTCTTGATTCATGTCTGACCGTTACCAACGTCTTTTTTTCCAAACTGTTTGATTTATATGTTGATTTGAATAAGTACACATGTTTTGTGAATAACATTGTTAAAATCCTGAGACGGCTCCACAGGAGCAAGGCCTCTGGATTGGGCTTTGAATCAATAAAGGTAGTTTTATACAAAGTTGGTTGATAAGTAATCAAATTAAAATAAATTGATAAATTGTGAGATTATCACTACTTGAAACTACTTGGAAAGAGTTGCTGCATCGAATCTCTAAGAGAGCTAAAGAGATTCGAAGAGAGCTAGAGCATCGATTTTCAGTCGTGACTGGAGTCCCAGCTAGCGGAGTAGTGAAGGCGTCTGTGCGTCAGTACGTCTACTGAGAGCCCAATATTCCAACACTCCCTCTCACCGAGCTATGCAGGTAGCGGGAGATGCTTACCAGCCGATTAACCATTTCCTATGCTTGATAAATTGTTCGACGGCCAGTGGTTTTGTCAGTATATCAGCTGGTTGATCCTCAGTATCAATAGGATGAATGGTAATCTCCTTCCTTGTTACATATGACCTAAAGTGGTGCAGTTTTGTGCAAAGGTGTTTTGTTCTGGGTCTCCACTTGTGGATTTTTGCCATTTCCAATGCTCCACTATTGTCTTCAAAGACTCTGCAATGGACTTTAGGGGGATGATCCAGGACAGGGATTCCATGCCTCTTCATTTCCTTGAGTAGGTTCATGAGGGGAATTGCTTCACGCAATGCATAACTGAGACCAGTGTATTCGCTTTTGGTAGAGCTCAAAGCGATTTCGGTTTGTAATTGACTTTTGTGAATTATTGGAACACCGGCGTAGGTGATGACGTAACCATGACGCGAGCGTGCCGTGTCTGGATCATGTCCATAGCGTTCGTTCCAGTTCCCACAAAAATCTGCATCAACATACACATCAAATGATTTTCTCAAGTCCGGTTTGATGAACATTCCCTTATCTGCCGTGCCTAAAAGGTAACGTCCAATTTGTTTGATTGCTTCACCATGTGCTTTCTTTGGTGCTGACGAAAATCTGCTGCACTGGTGACATGCATATGCAAGTTCCGGTCTTGTTCCTTTCTCCAGGTAAGCGATTTTCCCAATGATTGATCGATAATTGAATTGATTGTCAAATTCCGGGGAGTCTGCTTCCTTTTGAAGGATTCTGGAATGGATCATTGGAGTGTCTCGAGAGTTCGAATTGTTGATTGGTTTGTTCTTTTGCTTGAGTCTTAAGGTCTCTAGGATCTGATTGATGAGGTGAGGCTGCGTGAGCCAAAATCCGCCATCTTTCTTCTCGATGTTGACTCCGAGAAAGTCCTTGAGATCTCCTTCAACAGTCAAGTCTAATTTTTCTTTCATCAAAGAGATTGCTTCATCGATTTCTTTCTTGTCGGGTCCTGCAATAATCGAGTCATCTGTGTACAAGACATAGATCATTTTGCCCTTGAAGAAGATGCAGTCATCCACCTTGGATTGGGCAAATCGCATTCTCTCAGTTTCTTGACTAGGAACTGGTTCCAAACACGTCCAGCTTGTTTTTGGCCGTATCTGTTGCGTCTCACTTTGAAACAATAATCAGCCGGGTCTGCTCCATCGAGGTCTATCCCTTTTGGAATCTGCATGTACAGCTCCCTCTCAACTGGTGCTTGGGTGAATGCCAGTACATAATCGAGCTGTACTGTGTGCCATCCAAGTGTGAGAGCAAGTGCCAAGAGGAGCTTGATGATTCCCCAGCTTGCTACAGGGGCATAGGTAAGATCATAATCGCGATGCTTTACCATTCTGGATCCATCAATATTTAACCAAGCTTTCCATTTCTTTACTTTTCCAGTTTTGATATCGCGCTTGCGCTTCATCTGCCATACCGCAGGTAGCAAGGTCGCTCCTTTTGGTAAGTCCTTCTTTGGGATGAGTTTGATGACCTTTTGATCCATCTGATCGCTCATCTCCTTCATCATTGCCTTTTGAAACTCCTTCCAATCAGGTTGCTTCATTGCCTGGTGCAGATACATTGTGTCCGGATCAGTCGATGCCTTCATTGCAAGGACATCATCAGGTTCCACTGGATTGGGAAACATTGCTTCCATCGCAAAGAGTTCAAAAGGTATGTCCAGATCGGCGAGCTCAGCGGTCATGACTTTGATGAGTCGCTCTGGTTGTTGTCTTTGCCTTGTCGATCTTCTAACTGATTGGTGACGATCTCCGGCAGGTGTCACTCTTGGTGACGGTGGTGCTGCTGGAGCTGGTTGGCCATCTCCTGTCGGAGCCTGCTCTTGCTCAAGTGTCCCTGGGGACAGGTGATCCGGAAGTTCAGATTGTTGAGGAGCTCCCTCTGAATCTTGGATCGACCGGTTCCTTGTTT